TGGGGGCTGTGGGGACGACTGCTGGGAGATGCGACAAGGGGAACGGGACGGGGACAGGACCACGAGGGGTCTCGTCATGGGGCTTGGCCACTCCGATGTCACCCCAGCCCCAGGGACTGGGGGGGTTCGCTGCAGGAGGGAGGTGGCAGTGGGCTCCCAGCGCTGGCACCGACTGGGTGAGGAAGGGGCAAAGCCCCCCCGGACCACACGCATTTGGGGTGGGGGGTCAGTCGGGGGCTGTGTGACCGGGGTGTCCCCAACCCTCAGACTCTGCCCAGTTGGTCGGACACTCCTGTGTCCCAGAGCCTGGTCACGGCCAGGCAGGGAGGATGGGGGTCCAAGGGGATGTGTCCCCCACTGCCCCCCCCACCGGGCAGGGGGCTGCCGGGGGTCCCGGCGGGTCCAAGCTACATACCCAAGACATCTGTATCAGGAGCAGGGAAGGAAGGAAGCAGCGCGGAGGGGAGGAAACCCAAGGGAAAGGAGGAAAAGGAAAGAAAAACACAACAGAGAGAAGATAAAAGGGAAGGAGGGGGAGAAAGACCAAGTCAAACCAACCGGGGGGGGAGCGCAGTGGCCTGGGTCCCCCCCCACGTTAGTCACCCCGTAGAGGCAGACCCCCAACACCTCACCCCCAGGAGCCGTGCACCGGTGCAGGCGGGACGAGCACCCCGGGATGGACGGGCTGGGGGATGCTGCCAGGCTGATACAGATGGAGGCTTGGGGGGGGGGTGGGGGGGGGGGTCCATGCTGCCCAGCCGGGTGGGGGGGGGTCAGCATGGGGTGGCCGAGCCGCGGCGGCACCTTACCCAGGCTGGAGCGCGTGCTGGAGCGCTCGATGATGGTGTGCTTGCTGGGGTTGTTCAAGACGGAGCGCTTGGCCAGGGAGATGTCGGCCGTCACTCGCGTGATGGAGATCCTGCGAGACGGAGAGGGCACGAGCGGGTGGGGGGGAAGCAACAGCGGGTGCAACCCCCCCACGTGCATACCCACACCGCCCCGGGGGGCAGGATGGGACCCTCCTTCTGTCCCCGTCCTCCTACCCCCTGCACAAGGCTGCCTGGAGCTGGAGCCACAGGACTCCTGCTCCTCGGGGGAGAGATCCCCCCCCTCAAACAGCATGAACCACGGGGCAGGGCTGAGGGTCCCTGCGTGGGATTAGGGGTCCCCCCATGGGATTAGGGGTCCCTCTATGGGGTGAAGGGTCCCCCTGTGGGATTAGGGGTCCCCCCACGGGGTTAGGGGTCCTGTCCTGGGATTAGGGGTCCCCCCATGGGATTAGGGGTCCCTCTATGGGGTGAAGGGTTCCCCTGTGGGGTTAGGGGTCTCCCCATGGGGTTAGGGGTCCTCCATGGGGTCAGGGGTCCCCCACCCCGGCAGCCTCCTGCCTCACCTGCCATCAAAGCGATGCTTCAAGAAGTCGAAGAGAGCTTTCTGCATCATGTCTGTGACCTGGGGAGGGAGGGAGGAAGGCAGGGAGGGAGA